AGATTTACCAGTTGCCTGCATACCCCTACCAATATAAGTTTTATATTTTAACCCCTTAAACATCAATTATTATTCTAATGAAAATTAAATCCGCCATTGCATAATTTCTCCTGCATACCCCCCAGAGATGTCCTGTATACCCCCAGGGGTATGTGTACCACAGTTTGGGAACCCCTGGAGCAGAGGAATAAACGCATAAAATAACATTTTTAGTAATCAGAGTTAACTGGGATCTAACTATGCCACTGTAGTTTTTTTCCATTATCTTGTGTAAAGTGGAAAAGACAGTACAAAGATGAAATGTATGGAAAAAATCCCTCCTCCTGTCTATGAAGCCCATTAAAGCTCATTGCTTTAAGTCTTAAAAAATCTTTCTTATGTTTGCTTTGCCTCGTGTGAAATAGTTTCCTCTGAATTAGCTGCCTCCTAACCCTACATAGTCAGAATTACTCATTAATCAAAGGTTGCATAAAAAGAATATTATCAGAAGTTGACTACAATTGTTCTAGAAGGAACAAAAGCCCTTAGTATAGAAATCAGACCAAGTGCCACAAAAAATGCTTTATTTAGGTACTGCTGATGAAGAACTCTGAAAAAAGAAATGATTAAAACTGTACTCTCAGAGATACAGAGCCAGCACAGAAGGCAGAAACAGATAGACCTGCCAAATTCTTAGGTCAGATATCAAGGCCTAATAATGCACCATGTTCACACCATTTCCCAAGAAGATCCACTCAGGATTCCTCTAGACTTATTCAATCAGAAGTGGATCTAGGGGTGTGGTGATGCAGTTATAAACCCCCTCTCCCTTTTGATTCCTGCTGTACCCAACTTTATAACAAACCTCCTGGGAGGGGCAGCACCACTTTTATTCAGACATCACTGAGGAAAACAATTGACTTCATGTATCATTATAATCTACTTTACTCCTGCTAATTTCTCTCCATGCCATAGGTATTAACAGTCCTGTCTCATGTTTAATGGTCTTGATGTTCTACTATGCAAATGATCTTTTCTTCTGCCATTTTGCTGTCTGTTAGACATTACTGATAATGCCTCTCTTCTAGTTCATGGCCCTGCACACTGTTTTTAGCTCTAGTTAAAAATCTTAACTCAGGTTTAGTAATATTAACTCAGGTGTAGAAATGACTGACAGTGAAGTATTGGAGGCTCTGTCAAGATGCATAAGAAAACTAGATTTTGTTTTACAAATCTGAATAAGAGATGTACTTTTAATGATAATGACTACAGAATTACTGAAATCATCTTTTGATTATTTTAACCATTTTGCCTAGTTCTGTGGTTTTTAAATGTAATATATTAATCTAGCAAATTAGTGAACATTCCAATAAAGTTATTTTTGGTTTTGTTTTGATCTTTAAATAATATAGTGTTATCTAAAGACTCTAGTTTCTCTTTAACTGTGCTATACATGATGATGTGCAAAACTATATTCATCACCCTTTTTGAAATCCTATATCCACCCAAGTCTGCACACACTGGCAACAAAGGACTATCCAGCTCTAGCAGGTTGGGCATCATGAAAACATTGAGTGGCCTGTAATGTGGAAGAAATGTGGAAGCCAGAATAGAGACTGGAATAGGGAGGCCTAAGGGTAGCTCTAATTTTCTTCAAATTAAAAAACCCACTGATGCATTGTTTGGGATTAGCAAAGCAGGGGAAAAACCCATGGTGCTTTTATGAAACAAAACATAAAAAGCACAGTGATGTGTTGTAGGCATATTTAATTAGGAAGGAATTTGTGGGGTCACAGTATGGGGAAAGGAAACAAAGACTGAAGTAAACACTTGAATTGAAATAATATTTGATTTCTGAGCTCTTAGACATAAATCTTAGACACACTACTATCATAATTTCATATATATAGAGATATATAATGGTCTATTTACATAAAAGTAATTAAATCTGTAAGAACATTGCACTAGTCACTATTTCTGCCTTCCCCACAGCACCAGATTTATATTAAAAACTTTCAGCTTATTACTAGTCATATTCAGGATTTCCCATCAGGCTCAGCCTCTCCAAGGAACAGCTCTTGCTTTCCCTGAATTCATCAGAACTCCCACTAATGACAGTGGGGACAGAATCAGGTGCACTTATTTCATAAAAGCATTAATCTCTTCTATTTCAAATAGCTTAAAATATATTTCTAATGCCTAAGGATAATATCTAAAGGACACTGCCAACTGGTAATGACTACACAGCAGAGTTGCCATAAAAAGGGAGCTAAAACGTTTGCCCACAAAGTCCTTTAAAAAAAAATAAAACCATCTGTAAAAAAAGATCAAACAAAAATTGAACAAAAACCTAAGAAAATGTAAGCTTGATTGAAGGCAGCAGGCTGGATGCAAGATGTGTTGATGGACAGATGGAGCACAGCCAGCGCCACCTTGTATCTAAACAGGAGCACAGCATCCTGCAGGAAGCTCTGTCTCGGGGCTTTGTAGAGCATGGGACCTTCTGTAGCCCACTCCTCACCACCAGCTTGTGCTGCTACTGCTGCATGCTGCATGCAATCCCTGCTTCCCCTGAAGTTAGGCAGGGCAATGTAGCCCCAGGCAATCTGTGGCACTGGGCAGGACAGAGGGGTGTGGTTCAGCTGGGACAAATAGCTGTGAGGCCAGGAAGGAGAAATTATTACTGCAAATTAATACTGCAATGGTGGGCAGTGTTAATGTTTCAATGTATGATTACAAATAAAAGGATTCTGGTTAAAACAATTCTTAGTTGCATTTCTTAGTTGTATGTATTTTCTTACTTTGTACTTCCTTGATGTAATCCAGCTTGTTATGTAGGTTCAGCCATGGTTATGTTCTACTATGGTAACTGATATAACCCCATTAATATGCAAGTTTGGAGGTCTGGAGTCTACTCATGCCCATTTTACTATTTGCAGGCCTATGTTTTACTGTTTGGGGAAGTCACTTCTGGCATTCAAACAGCCTGAGCCTGAATTGATTCTATCTTTGCAGGTTAGTCTAACCTGCCTAGGCTGAATAAGTTTGGAACTGCAGATATCCCCTCTGGACTGAAGAAATGCAGGCACATGTCTGCACTGGCTCAGGCTAGAAGCTGGGGGTGGGAGGGCACTAGAGCAGCCCTCCCTTCCCTTCCACAGTGAGCTGAGGGAAGCATGGCCAGGACCTGGCAGGACACGGATTAGGAAGGGGGTCCCCCCCTCACTTGTCAGTGATGGAGCCTGCAGGGATTTACACAGCATTTACTTACATAGTCGGGAGTTACACAGGGAGCATTTATCAGTCAATAAGCCAAACAAAAGCATCTTTCATTAGTTCAAGCTCTTCATAAACTTTTTCAAAGGAGGGACATTACAGCTACCTGTTGATTAGCTCGAAAGAGCTCTAAGCAGACACTACCCTGTCTGCCTTTGTCCTGTCTCCCACAGCACAGACCGGACTTTAGCTAGTATGTGGTACACTAGCTAATACTGAGAGGTGTCTGTGTAAGGCAGAGGGGAGGGGGGAATCCCTGCTGAAGCAGGGAGTGGTGAGGGGGAGGGGCAGAGTAGGAGGAGGCCAAGTAGATGCCCCATACCTGCAGTCTCTGCTGGAGCTGCAGCCAGGGAGCAGATGGGAGGGGCCAGCACTGCTGGGCTGGAGCAGAGAGCAGAGCTCTGCCTAGCATTGCAAATCATCTGTGATTCTGGAGGATTCTGATTTAACTTAAACCAGGAAGGGGTCTAGGACAGACATCACATAAACTGGTTTGAGCCAAATCAGTTAGGTCTGATACTACATTCAACTACAGTTATCTCAAGCTGGTTTCAGCCATTTTCAAAACAGTTTATGTGCATTGAACATCTGTTCTGTTACAGGTTTGAACCAGTTTCTGATCACTTAAACTGGTTTGTGTGTAATATCTGTCTCCAGCCCAGAAGTTCAGTGCACATAAACCACTTTCAAAATGTCTGAAACCAATTTAAGATAAACTTGGATGGATGAAGTATCGGATTTAACTGATTTAGGCTAAATCTGTTTATGGATTTAACCCCTTCCCCTTTCTTTTGCCAATGGAATTAAAATGTAAAGTTAAATTCTCATATGATCAGGAAAATCTTGTTTCCAGGTTTAGTATATGCTTGTTCTCATAGAGTTCCTAAAAATCTGGAAACGAGTCAGTTTTTTTGAAAAAAAACTAAAAGTTTGTGATGGTAATGTGATGTACATAAAACTTGGTTTTCTTTCTCTCTCTAGTCTCACATGCCTCAAGGTCCTATCATCAGTTTCTTTGTGCTCCCCTACTTGTCTTTTGTCTCATATTTGGTTTGCAAAGTCTTTGGCAGAGGCTATCTTTTCTTGTCAGAATGGTAGCAGTGGTTTCATTATACCAGTGTAGGCTGCAGGGCTAGGGAGAGTTTTATAAAGGTAGCTTTAAAGGATGATGATGAGATAGTTCTATGGAAGTTTATGGGGACCTCCTAAGCTAAGGATTTTGACAGAGAAAGCACAGAAGTGCTTGCTTAAAAATCTAACAGCTGAGCAATGGAGGTTGACTTCATGGGCCAATTTTAGGTGAGGAATGACCTCTGTATAGCAATAGGATAGAGCATGAATAGACCATGAAGGACCTTGAAAGTAAAGAGAATTAGCTTATGTTTGATCTAACAGAATAGAGAGAGGCAATGAAAAATGCAGAATGGGAGTTAAAGAATCATAATCTGCACTGAGTGATTCTATTGGAACCATGCTACTAGGTAATTCCCAACCAATGTCTATCTCCTGGCCTCTATCTTTAAGTAACATTTCCTGTATCATCTGGAACATGAAAAGAGTTGAATTAGTTGGTTATTTATGACCATTAATAATATTTACTGATATGATTTATATCAGATACCATTCATGCCTGTAACATGCTTATAACATCTATTAACCATTTAGTAATGGTTACTAATGGTTCATTAATAAAAGTGTTTCCTGTGACAAACTGAAATGGGACACTTATTGGAGACAACTTGTTTGAGCTGTTCATCTACAATTACACTGGAAATAAATTAACCTGAGCAGCTTTTAAAATACTTTTAAAAATAAAGAGCTATACACTAGAAACCTTATTAGTAGCATTTGTTATAACTAATGTATACTGTTCTATAGATGGTCCATATTTTCCAGGTACAAATGAGAAAATTCTTCAGTTGATATGTTCAGAAGATCATCTGTGATACTAATTTGTTTCACAGTCTTCAAGTGTTGCTTTCAATCAAGAATATTACTTCAGCACAACAACAAAATTGGGGGAGGTGAACATGTTCTCCTTATAGGTTGTCACAAAGATACCTATTGCAAGTAAAAATGTAACAAAATAGGATGGATAAAGACAGATAAAAACATGATATAGGGTAAACTTGTATTTAAGCCAAAGAT